AACCGCTTTGAGTATTATAAAGAACATGATTTTTATAGTTTTCTAACGTTTCAACGAGCCTAAAGAAGTCTGGATATCCTACTGTATAATTCTGACAGAAATTTAGCTTCAATTTATGTTTCACTTATTACCTTAGATGTGATACAGCCTTGATAGTATTGGCATATACAATTCTATCCGGATGAACTCCCGCATCGAGTATTAATTGCATTTCAGCCTATGCAGAATAGAAATTAAGAATATGTCCACATAAGGTGTTATAATTTCATCATGTACCATAATCAATAGAAGAAGTTGGTCCTGAAAATGTACTTGTAATTCTATAGCAGAACTATTAGCGCAATAGATTGTGTTATAAATTTGCTAGTTAAAACCGTAAGTACGCGTATAATAAACATATTCGTCAACTTGATCATAGATTAACTATTAGCCGACTGTTATGCAGTTTATGAACCTACCATGCTTGCACAGTCAAAATTAACTCCCAAGTTGATTAAGATACGTAGTAAGACTGGATCGTTATTGCATTTGACAGCTGGAAAAGGATCCAATTGGAGATAGGTAAAGATAAGATTAGCACGCTCGTTAGTGACAATAAGTTTATTCACTTGATTTACATTACTGGTAGAATCAATTGTCGCTCTATTTGTATCTTTAAACATGCTTCGTCAAGTCTACCTACCATAGAAGGGTTCAACATTAGGCAATCGCATTTTCCACTGATTATTATTTTAACCATTGCCGAGGAAATAATGAGTACAATATTATCAAATTTTAATAAGAAAAATCACTACTTTGACTATCTATTTATATACTATCTCTTACTTGAATGTTACTGCTAATTAATTTTATCGTATCTAGGCAAATATTGACCCAAAATATTCTTACCTCACGATATCGTTCTATTATATTGCCGATGTTAACTAACATGAATGAATCGTCCTTAAACTAATAAAAGCATTTTCATTAAAGGGTGGAGTAAATATAAATATCATGAGCACAAGTAGATGCAAAATAAAAGTAGGAATTATATAAGACGCGAAAATGTTGTTCTTCTTTTGATAACAGGAGTAATGATGATTGTAGAGAAATATAATTCAAAAACATTTTTAAACCTAGATGCGAAAATGTTGTTCTTCTCTTGACAAGAGTAATGATGATCGTAAGAAAAAAATTGAAATATCTCTAATAATAATAACAATTTTGAATGGATGAAGGATGTCTGCAAAACGCAGCGATTAATTTATAGCAACAATTCACTTTTATGATAGTACAGTACTGTACTCTTCATTTGGAATATGAAATGATTTTCCGTACGAGTTAATTGAAGATGAAATGCAGTTCATTAATATTATCAGGTCAATTATGATAAGTTTACCTGTTGGTCCATCGCTGTCGTTTTCTTTTCAATGAGTTCCTGTAGGGATAGATTAGGTACGATTTCCACACGTTCCATCCTGATGGCGTTATTGAATTGAATAGATGAGCTACACGTGTCAAAGTCTACGAAAAGATGGATTGATAGTGTGTCAATTGAAGAGAAATAAATATTCACGACCTTCATGGACTGTATGCTATTCACGACTATTCTTCTCCTTCAATTCATTAAGATCAAGGTTACAATCTTTAGTAGAATTATGATTAAGTCAGCGTAGGATTACTATACTGTACAAGTCATGCCTACAATTTTGAAGTTAATGTTGAGACTGGACGACGTTTGAAAGTGAATCCGTCAGCCACTAAGGCCACTTGCAAAGAGTGGAAAATGGACGATAATACTGTTGAATTCTTTGCAACTATACGACTCGTCACTGCCGTTAATTGTAATTCTTGATGGCCTGGAAATCGATCAATCTCGTCTGCTATTGGAATTTTTGCTATACTGTTCAAGCGCCGCCTGTACAGACTTTCAAGCCAACCACCAACAGAATAAATGATTCTACTTCAATTGGAGAATGATGACTAGCTTGCAACGATGAGCTCAACGCCAAGGTAAACTGCCGGTATTGGATATTACGGCCAAAACCCGGTATTGGGCCAATACGCGTATATAGCCTGCCTATCGCCAACGACTACAGTGCCAACTGTTCCCACACCAACAATGAAATTCAGTACCAATGTACTGTACACTGTAGCCCCATTTGGCTTGGACGCTACTGTCGATTGGATACAAAGACTGACATAGATTTGCAGCTTCTTCTACCGCACTGATGCAATACACAGTACAAAGTACTGTCGTCATGCAATAGTGGAACAGTAATCTCAACGCCCTCAGGTGGGCATGTGGCTCAATAATCATCATCCAGCGATTCAAGATGTCCACTACTTAGATCATAATTAGTGGATTGATTCATTCATACTGCAGTCTATTTGTACAATCAACGGCTTCGATGATCATCTATCCCAGTAGTACGTAAGAAGAAGAAAAGAGTTTGAGTAGAAGAGAAATTATATCCTAATTAGTGGATTGATTGATTCATACTGCAGTCTATGTGTATAATCAACGGCTTCGATGATCATCTATCCCAGTAGTATGTAAGAAGAAAAGAATTTGAGTAGAAGAGAAATTATATCCTAATTAGTGGATTGATTCATTCATGCTGCAGTCTATAGGATTCATTCATACTGCAGTCTATGTGTACAATCAACGGCTTCGATGATCATCTATCCTAGTAGTATGTAAGAAGAAGAAAAGAGTTTGAGTAGAAGAGAAATTATATCCTAACTAGTGGATTGATTCATTCATCCTGCAGTTTATGTATATAATCAACGGATTCGATGATCATCTATCCCAGTAGTACGTAAGAAGAAGAAAAGAGTTTGAGTAGAAGAGAAATTATATCCTAATTATTGGATTGATTGATTCATACTGCAGTCTATACGATTGATTCATACTGCAGTCTATGTGTATAATCAACGGCTTCGATGATCATCTATCCCAGTAGTATGTAAGAAGAAAGAGTTTGAGTAGAAGAGAAATTATATCCTAATTAGTGGATTGATTCATTCATGCTGCAGTCTATAGGATTCATTCATACTGCAGTCTATGTGTACAATCAACGGCTTCGATGATCATCTATCCCAGTAGTATGTAAGAAGAAGAAAAGAGTTTGAGTAGAAGAGAAATTATATCCTAACTAGTGGATTGATTCATTCATCCTGCAGTTTATGTATATAATCAACGGATTCGATGATCATCTATCCCAGTAGTACGTAAGAAGAAGAAAAGAGTTTGAGTAGAAGAGAAATTATATCCTAATTATTGGATTGATTGATTCATACTGCAGTCTATACGATTGATTCATACTGCAATCTATGTGTACAATCAACGGCTTCGATGATCATCTATCGCAGTCAGTAATCACAAAGATGATCTACAAAATACAATTAACAATCAATCCATATTGTATTGCTGCTTTATCCAATTTCGGACAGTAGTCATTCCAGGAATATCATTATAAAAAATGTGAGATACCATAAATATTCCATATTTATTGGTGTGTTATCTGGGCTTATATCATTGACAGTATTATCAACAGCGATGAGTAAAAAATAGTGTAGTTACTGAATCTATTGCTAATTAACTAAAAAGGGACGCAAACTCAGCCATAAAGGCAAAATAAGAGTATTAACTAAAGCAATTCGTTATCTTATAATTTAATTAGTGGTCAAGTTAAAAGGTAGATTAACCTTTCCTTGAATTTCGTTCCTAGAAATGAAATTTTAAACCTTATTAATTCAAGGTGTTTATTAATGCAGGTGTTTGTCATTGGAGAGATGAGTAGTAGTAGCATCATGCTAATGGACCTTACCATAAATGCTCTTGAATGTAATAGTAACATTTTGGCTTCTTGAATGAATTAAATTTGGATACCAGGCTTAATGAATAAGCTCCAGTTTCTGTAAATCCAATAAGGTCAAGTACATATAGGCATAATATGAGAGAATAATGGCAATTAGTCACTAATAATCACCAAAACCTTTGTAGGACATGACATAAAAGCATTCTTGATAAACCTTCAGTACGGGTATAGATTGTAGATATTGTTTGATAGTACAGGACTTTTAACAGTTATTTACCTTCGAAGTATACCCAGTCACCAGCGTTAAGCTGAATTTATAATTTCAAATGGCGATAGATAACGAATATATAGGTATTAGAAGATATCGTTTACGACGCGTTAGTCACAATCTGTTCCTTTTGAAGCTAGGTCATAAGTATAATTTTATTGTATATACGAGTCTGTTATGCTACTAAAAACTTCAGTACCTTTGGTAGTAAACATTCTTTCATTAAACAATCTAAGGAATCACATGTCTGACCAAATAAAACCGCAGTTTCTTCGCCATGAGTATTACTTTTGACCGGTTTTAAAGTAATTAGGGCATGATCAATTGGGAGAATATTAAGGCACCCATAAACGCTATCGTTAACGTAGTATAACACTTTCTAAAAGTAGTTATTTAAAAAAAAGTGTTAAATAGAACCATCGATTTTAATAAATTGCGCTAATATTATAGAAAATAGAAATGTTGCAAAATCAAGCTTATGCATGGAAAGAAGAAAATTCAAAGTAAAATTATTAATCTTTTAAATAAGTTTTCTAGTAATCCAGTTGCCTATTTATTATAGTTTGGCTATTGAAAAATACTAAAGTAAACACTTTTAATCTGGATTAGTCTACAAAATGAACACAATAAACAACTAGCCGAAATTTATGGTAATAATCAAAAAGATATCGAAGATGTTAAAAAGCGCCACTCTGCTATTGTCAAGATCAGTTATGAGTTCTTATAATTTATTTATTACAAAGGAAGACATGCAAGAAGTGTAATATTAGACACTATTACAGTTTTGGATGGTTAATTAATCTGACTATTCTCTAACAGCAGT